TTCTTTCTTTCTTTCTTTCTTTCTTCCTTCCTTCCTTTCTTTCTTTCTTTCTTTCTTTCTTTCTTTCTTTCTTTCTTTCTTTCTTTCTTTCTTTCTTTCTTTCTTTCTTTCTTTTTGTTGGTCATGGAGCTTGAACTCTGGGCCTGGGCACTGTCCCTGCGCTCTTCAGCTCAAAGCGAAGCTCTACCACTTGAGACACAGTGCCACTTCCAGTTTTCTAGTAGTTTATTGGAGATAAGAGTCTCATGGACTTTTCTGCCCAGGCTAGCTTTGAACTGCGATCCTCAGATCTCAGCTTCCTGAGTAGCTAGGATTACAGGCATGAGCCACCAGTGCCCCTCTTTTATTTACTTTTTGTTGGTTGTGGGCTTGACTTCTGGGCTGAGGCACTGTCCCTCAACATTTCAGCTCAAGGCTAGTGCTCTACTACTTGATCCACAGAGCCACTTCCAGTTTTCTGGTGATTAATTGATAAGAGTCTCATGGACTTTCCTGCCTGGGCTGGCTTTGAACCGTAATCCTCAGATCTCAGCCACCTAAGTAGCTAGGATTACAGGAGTGAGCCACAGGTGACCCGCCCTCTTGTTTTTAATGGCTTGCTGTATGTCGCCACCTGCTGGTAGACCCTCACTCTGACTTTATTTATTTATTTATTTTGGTTGTGCGGCCTGAATTCTGGGCCTGGGTGTTGTCCCTCAGCTCTTCTGCTCAAGGCTAGCACTCTAACACTTGGGCCACAGCGCCACTTGAGGCTTTTTCTGCTTATGTGGTGCTGAGGAATAGAACCCCCACGGAGGGCCTCATGCATGTGAGGCAAGCACTCTACCACTGAGCCAGCTTCCCAACCCAAGCTGAGGTTTCTTTTCAGTCTGGTCTGGGGATCACAGACTGAGATCTTTGAACCCAGCCATCTGGTCAGTTCTTCTGACCAGAGGGCAGGCGAGGTGGGCAGTCGTACATCTTTCCCAAGTCACCCAGTTCCAGCCTATAGAGCTCAAACCTCTGCCCTGAGCCTGCAGCTTGCGCTCTTCAGTGTTCACTGACGTGGTCTTAGTTAGGCCTGTACAGGGCATCCTGCAGAGGCTATGACATGTGTTTGAAGCAAACTGTTAATGCTGTTTATCACTTACAGGTAAAATCACTGTGTGCATCACTGCTGGACTCGAACGTTCTTGTGCAAAGAAATAATCTGGAAATCGTCCTGTTTTTCTTTCCATTTTATACCTGCCTGGTAAGTCCCACGTGATGAAGATATAGACAAGTCCTGCCACTTCCCTGGGCAAAGGCTCAGGGCTTGGACGTCTGGAGCCTGTGTCAAGTACAGAACCTAAGAAGGGGCAAGTATCAAGAACTCTTGTCTACTTCATCACTCCCTTTCTCTGTCTTCACAGGATCCCAATGAGCAAGCCATCCCCCTGCTTAGATCCGACATCGTGGGCATCCTTTCAGCCGCCACCCAGACCCTGCTGAGAAGAGACATGTCTCTCAACAGAAGACTCTATGCCTGGTTACTGGGTAAGGAGCAGGAGGGCAAGGGAACGCTGTAGTGCTGGTTTGGGGGTATTTCATTCTTGGCCATCCAGTTCTGAGTCATGCTGTGTGGAAAGACCCTGCAGTGACTAGATGCACTGGCTAGTGGAGAACTGCTTCCTACACACAGCTGTGGTTCTCAGCCTTTTCTTTTCTTTTAAAAAGAGAAATAAAATACTTAGATAGTGGGATATTTTGTTTTTCATTTCTGTTATTTCACTGGTCTTTGTTTGATGTTATAACTGGTAGAATGACATGTGGCTAGGTTGTGTTTTTCTTCTTTAAAATTTCCTCTTTGGAGGTGGCTGAGTGTTGGAAGGTGGCACTGATCGAGACGCACTGTTCTGGTGAACTGCTTTGTGAAATGGCATCTCCTTTATGCAGTTACTTACATAGAATTTTTAAAAATAGCTTAATTTTGAAGTAGTTAAAAAAGAGAAGTAAATGGAATTTTTTTTTTAAATGTCAGCTGGGAGCTGGGGGCATGGCTCAAACATTCACAAGGCCCTAAATTCGCATCCCCCAAACCACATTAAAACAACAAAAGTTAGTTGAGCTGGGAAGTTGGCTCAGTGGTAGAGCGCTTGCCTTGCATGCCTGAGGCCCTGGGTTCGATTCCTCAGCACCACATAAGCAGAAAAAGCCAGAAGTGGTACTGTGGCTCAAATGGTACAGTGCTAGCCTTGAGCTGAAGAGCTGAGGGACAGCGCCAGGCCCAGAGTTCAGGCCCTACAACTGACCAAAAAAGAAAGCATTCATTAGAAGTCTGTTCTAAAGCAAGGCATGGTGGTATGCTCCTATAATCCCAACGTTGAGAAGACGAGGCAGGAGGATCAAGCGTTCCGGGACACCTTAAGTATATAGTGAAACCCTGTCTCAAAAGAAAGTTTACTAAGGGCTGGAGCATAGCTCAGTAGTAAAGTTTGAAGGCAGCCCAGGCAGGAAAAGTTCATGAGACTCTTATCTCCAAGTAACTACTAAAAAAGCTAGAAGTAGAGCTAAGATTACTGGTATGTGCTACGACACTCCTGGCTGCTACTTTGTTTTTCATTTGTGCATAGAAAATTACTGGGGGAAAATGTAGCAGTTTGCATATTTTAAGATATTTAATAGTAAAAATTTGCATGTAGTGTTTAAATATGCTAATGTACCTTTCTTAGCTGCTCCAAATTTGCTCTGTATGGGTTAAGCTAAAGACTAAGTAACTGGGGCTGGGAAGGTGGCTCAGTGGTAGAGCGCTTGCCTTGCATGCTCGAGGCCCTGGGTTCGATTCCTCAGCACCACATAAGCAAAAAGAAAAAAGCCGGAAGTGGAGCTGTGGCTCAAAAGGTAGAGCGCTAGCCTTGAGCTGAAGAGCTTAGGGACAGCACCCAGGCCCAGAGTTCAGGCCCCACGACCGGACCCCCCCAAAAAAAAAAAAAAGACTAAGTAACTGATTTTCAATGAGAAAGAAACTGTTGATGTTCTGCATGAAAGCCAGAGGAATCCTGAAATCAGGAGCCAAGCTTTCCCCAGAAGAACCTGGACTCCTGGGGGACTCAGAAGTGCCCCTGATTTTGTCCCTCTCCATGTCCCCAGAATGGGAGTTGTTTTTGCTCCTTTGTCAACAGCTGTGGCTTCGAAGAGAGCCTAGAGATTTCTGAAGCATTAGGGAGAAAGGACTTAATTTGTTAACGGAAATCTGTGTGACAGCCAGGTCCTGGTGGCTAACCTATAATCCTAGCTACTCAGGAGGCTGAGAGTTGAGGATTGTAGTCTGAAGCCAGCCTAGACAGGAAAGACCATGAGATTCTTGTCTCCAGTTAACAACCCGAAAGCCAGGCACTGGTGACTCATGCCTGGCTGGAATCCTAAATGCTCAGGAGGCAAACTGAGGATCGCAGTTCAAAGCTAGCCCGGGCAGAAAAGTCCATGAGACTCTTATTTCCTACCACCCCCAAAAACCTGGAAGTGGAGCTGTGGCTCAAAGTGGTAGAGTGCTACCCTTGAGCACAAAAGCTCAGGGACAGTGCCCAGGCCATGATTTCAAGCCCCACAACCAACAACAACAACAAAAAAATTGGAAGCGGAGCTGTGGCTCAAGTTGTAGAGTGCTAGCCTTGAACAAAAAGAAGCTCGGGGCTGGGAAGGTGGCTCAGTGGTAGAGCACTTGCCTTGCATGCATGAGGCCCTGGGTTTGATTCCTCAGCACCACATAGCAAAAAAAAAAAAAAAAGCTGGAAGTGGTGCTGTGGCTCAAGTGGTAGAGCGCTAGCCTTGAGCTGAAATGCTGAGGGACAGTGCCCAGGCCCAGAGTTCAGGCCCCATGACCGGACCCCCCCCAAAAAAAGCAGCTCAGGGACAGTGCCCAGGACCTGAGTTCAAGCCCCATGACCAGCACACAAAAAAAGAAGAAAACCTGTATGAAAAATACTATTTTTTGTTCAGATAAGTAAATTCATAATATTCTTAACTTGCATACTTAACTCTAGTTTATATGTATGTATATTTACGTATTTGTGTATGTGCATGCACATGCACGTACATCAGACCATGAGAATTTTTCATAGTACGATGTCCTCTGACAGCACAGATTTCTTAGCAACTCACCATTTTTGTTTTTTTGTAGGTTCAGACATTAAAGGGAATACCATTGTGCCAGAATCTGAACTCTCAAGTTCTTTTGAAGATCAGTCCTCTTATTTGTTTGAAAAATACTCCAAGGATCTTTTAGTTGAGGTATGGACATTTTTTGAAAGTCAATAATCCTATTCAGGGCCTTCCTCATCATGAATTGTTTTTGGCAGTACTTGTGCTTGCTAACTAAGCAAGTGCTCTATCACTTGAGTCACACTGTCAGGCCCCTTTTGTGCTGGCTAATTTCAAGGCCAGCCTGGACTGTGATCCTCCTGTTTGAGCTTCCCTATGTAGCTGGGCTTGTAACATGTGCCATGAGACCTGGCCTTGTCTTTCTCCCTGTAGCTTGAGTGCGAGCCATTGGTCAGGATGGAGTCTCAAAAACTTTCTTGTTGCCCCAGTATCTACCTTCCAAGTACCTAGGTTTACAGGTGCCTGGCTTTTTTTTCCCTCCAGTATTAGGTGCTCTCCCACTCGAGCCACACCTCTAGCCCACTCATCTCCATCTTCAGAGGGTTTCCTTGGGTGTGGTCCTTGGCACCTGGCTTGGAGAGCTGTAGCCTATTGTGGACCAGGATTGGCTCTCTTCGAGTGTTTTATCGTTGGGAAACTGATGATGTCATACATCATCCTGTGCAGTATCCTAATGTGTGCCTTTTTGAACAACCAGAGTCTGGCTAAGATTCTGCACCAGAAGTTCTTAGACGCTGATGTGGAGGAGCGTCACCATGCGTATCTGAAGCCTTTCCGCATCCTCGTCAGTCTGCTGGACAAGCCGGAAATCGGTATGGAGGGAAAAGCCCCTGCCTCTCAGGGTGGCTAGACACACAGGATCTGATCCCGGGGAATTGAAACACAGGGAGATACAACAGTGTGTCACTCTAATCACTGTAATTCACTTGTTTGGAATTGTAAAATTGTAAAGTCATGTGGTTTACTTCTTATCTCTGAAACTGCCTTAAGGTTTTGCTTAAAGTAGTTTGGGATGTGGCTCAGTGGAAGAGTGTTGCCCTGGTCTACACAAGGCCTGGGATTTGATCCCCAGCCCCAGTTTATAAACACACACACTCACATACAATTAAAAACAACTAGCCAGTCGCTGGTGGCTCATGCCTGTAATCCTAGCTACTAAGGAGGCTGAGATCTGAGGATCATGGTTCAAAGCCAGTCCAGGCAGGACAATCTCCAATAAATCCCCAGAAAACCAGAAGTGGCTCTGTGGCTGAAGTGGGAGAGTGCTTGCCTTCAGCTGAAGAGCTCAGGGACAGCACCCAGGCCCAGAGTCCAAGCCCCACAACCAACAAAACAAACAAACAAAAAACAACAACTGATTTCCCTTTGCCTGGGGAGATGGTACATGCCTATATACTTGTATTTCCAGCTGTTAGAGGCAGAAGCAGGATAATTGTGAGTTCAAAGCCATCCTAAACTACATAGCAAGACCTTGCCTTTGAGTTCATTGTACATGTTTGTACATACATGCCGGATGAACACAGTATTTATTTTATTTTTTGAGTACATTTCTTTGTGTGTGAGGGTGTGTGTGTGTGCCAGTCCTGGGGATTGAACTCAGGGTCTGGGCACTGTTTATGAAGCTTCTTTTGCTCAAGGGTAGCACTTACCACTCAAGCCACAGCTCTACTTCTGACTTTTTGGAAGTTCATTGGAGATAAGAGTCTCATGGACTTTCCTGCCTAGGCTGGCTTCAAACCATGCTCAACCTCTTAAGTAGCTAGGAGTACAGGCAGGAACCCCCAGCATTCAGTGAGAGCATTTCTTTATTCCAATGTCATGCTTCTCTTTTTGTTTTGTTTCTTTGAGACTGAGAGGCTTACTATGTAGCCTAGCCGGTCTCAAACTCACTATATAGCTTACGTTTGGCCCTGAACTTCTCAACTCAAGCATTATCTTCCTGCTTCAGCCTCTTGAGTGCTGGAATTACAGGCATGTGTCATCATACTAGCCCTAATGTCACCCTTCCAATGAGTTTTCTTACAAGCAAGCTTTAGGAGGTGCTACTGGCTATATTTTTGCTTTGTGACCATGAGCAAGTCACTTCTTTCACTGTGAAATGAAAAGAATTGAATTGGACTTACACACTGTTGTCCTATGAACATGGTTGAGGAAAAAGTACCTTTCTCTTCCTCTTTAATTGTGTGTGTTGGTCCTTGTTTCTTGCTATGCTTTCTTGCTTATGGCTGCCATTCTATCACTTGAGCCACTTCTCTTTAATGTTTGGCTAGTTAATTGGAGATAAGTATCTTAGATTTTTCTTCCAAGGCTGGCTTTGTACCATGATTCTACAAGCCTCAGCCTGGAGCTGAGCAACTGCACTCGGCTTCTGCCTTACTTAAAAAATAAATAAATAAACTCTCTAAATACCCATTCACGGTCAGACCTGACATCCAGGGCTGAGAGCTGCATGTCTTCCATCGCCATGACAGCTCGGAGGTGTCTGGGTGTTCCTGACATGCCACCTCCTAGTGGCTCTTTGCAGACGAGAGAGTTGACATTCTGCCATGCTGATCTCTCTAGCCTGTGGGTTGAGGCCCTTCCGGGTGCACTCAGAGCATCTGCTAAGTGGCAGGGATGTGCAAGTTCAAGAGCTACAAAGGAACGAGGCACCAGTGGCTCACTCCTGTAATCCTAGCTACTCAGGAGGCTGAGATCTGAAGATCATTGTTCAAAGCCATCTCAGGCAGGAAAGTTCATGAGACTGTTATCTCCAATAAACCACCAGAAAACTGGAAGTAGTGCTGTGGCTCAAAGTGGTAGAGTGCTAGCCTGAAGCTGAAGAGCTCAGGGCAGTGCCCATTTCCTGTGTTCAAGCCGACAAGAAAGAAAAGCTGCATGCCTTGCAAGCCTGAGGCCCTGGGCTCTATTCCCCAGCACCACATAAGCAAAAAGAAAAAAGCCGGAAGTGGCACTATGGCTCAAGTGGTAGAGTGCTAGCCTTGTGCTGAAGAGCTGAGGGACAGCGCCCAGGCCCAGAGTTCAGGCCCCACGACCGGACCAAAAAAAAAAAAAATTAAAAAAAAAAAAAAAGACTAGGATTCCTTTTTTTTTTTAAGGTTACTGTTTTACTTTTTGTTGGTCGTGGGGCCTCAACTCTGGCCTTGGCGCTGTCCTCAGCTCTTCAGCACAAGGCTAGCACTGTACCACTTGAGCCACAGCACCACTTCCTGCTTTTTCTGCTTATGTGGTGCCAAGGAAATGAATCCAGGGTCTCATGCATGCAAGGCAAGCACTCTACCACTGAGCCACCTTCCCAGCCCCGAGACTAGTATTCTTAAAGGCATATGTTTTGATTTTGGGAAAAGTATAAAATGTGAGATTAAAGCTAGGTGCAGTGGCTTAAGTCTGTAATCCTAGCTACTTGCGAGGTGGGGATCAAAAAGTCAACAGTTAGAAGAAGCCAGCCAGGTAAAAGGAAGGTCTCAAGATTCCATCTCAGCCAGTGTGGCTGTGCATGGTGGCACATTCCTGCCATCCTAGCTACAGGGGAAGCACAATGGCTGGGCACAGTGATGAGTGCCTCTCATCCCCCATGAGGAAAGCACAGGTAGGAGGATTGGGGTGCAGGCCAGCCGGGGCCAAAAGCAATATCCTATCTGAAATAACCAGTGGGAAAAGGAACTGGAGACGTGGCTCGTGTGGCAAAGTGTCTGCCTAGCAAGCCCAAGTCATGAGTTCAAGTCCCAGTACCAAAGGAAAAAAAGAGGTTACTACAGGGGCTGGGAGTGTAACTCAGTGTTACTTAGTGTGTGCAAGGCCCCACATTCCATCCCCAGCACTGCAGAAAGGAAAGAGTGTTAGCAGCAGGATAATATCCTGTGAGTGGACATGCGTTCATCCCTCTGGACGTGTGGGCTAAGAGCTGTCCCCCAGCGGCCTGGCCCTGAGTGTGTACCTCAGGACTCCCCTGCCCGACACTGTCAGACCAGCAAGGACGCCTCTCACAGCTGGTGCAATTCTTTGTGGGTCTTTTTGATCTTTTCAGGCTTGGAGTTACTTGTTTTTTGTTTTTGTTTTGTTTTGTTTTTTTTGTCGGTCGTGGGGCTTGAACTCTGGGCTTGGGCGCTGTCCCTCAGCTCTTCAGCTCAAGGCGAGCGCTCTACCACTTGAGCCACAGCACCACTTCTGGTTTTCTGGTGGTTTATTGGAGATAGGAGTCTCACGGTCTTTCCTGCCTGGACTGGCTTTGAACCGCGATCCTCAGATCTCAGCCTCCTGAGTAGCTAGGATTACAGGCGTGAGCCACCAGCACCCGGCTTGGAGTTACTTGTTTTATGTTCTCATCCATAATGAAAATGCAAGCGTGAGGCTGGTGCCCTCACGTGTACACTCTGTGGAGTAGTATGTATGCCTGGCCTGGCAGGTTGTCACTGGAACATGTAGCATATAGTTACACTGGCTTGACCTCTCCGAGCCTCGGTCACCCGTGTGTCATCAGGGGTAACAATACGGTCTCTGCTCACATGGCTATGTAGCAGCCTCAGCCATTCCTAGCTGTGAAATGCCAGCAGCAGGGTCCAGCGCATAGTGAGCTCTGTGGAAGCATGGGTCATTTTCATGAAGGTTGTTCTCTAGCTAACGTTGCTGCTATCCTAGCAGTATGTTTCTGTGTATTAGGAGTGCATAAAAGGCCTTATTTATGAGGTGGGGGGGGGGGTTGTGGGGGTGTGAGTGTATGACATGAGTGTCTTGGGTTGATGTTACAGTGGATTTTTAGTCTTCCTCTGACCATTTTCCTTTTGATTTCAGGGCCTCAGGTGGTTGAGAATTTGTTTCTCGAAGTCATCAGAGCCTTTTATTCTTACTGTAGAGATGCCCTTGGCTCCGACCTTCAACTTAGCTACACTCAGAGTGGAAATCTGTTGCTAAGGTATGATATGGATATGGCCTCTGATGTCACAGGCTTCCCTTGGTGCCACAGTTGTTCTTGTTCACCCTCCCTCCCCCCCCCCACACACTGCCGGGGGGCTTGAAGTCAGGGTCTTATACTCTTGCTTACTTTTTGTGTGTGTGTGTGCTGATTTTGAGGCTTGAACTCAGGGCCTAGTTGCTATCCTTGAGCTTTTTTTGTTGTTGTTGTTAGTCATGGGGCTTGAACTCTGGACCTGAACAACACTGTCCTTCAGCTCTAAGGCTAGTGCTCTACCACTTGAGCCACAGTGCCACTTCCAGATTTCTGAGTGGTTTATTGGAGATAAGAGTCTCACAGACTTTCCTGCCCGGGCTGGCTTTGAATCTCAATCTTCAGCTCTCAGTCTTCTGAGTAGCTAGGATTACAGGTATGAGACACTAGCACGCGGCTCAAGACTAGCACCCTACCACTTGAGCCACAGGGTCACTTCTGGCTTGTTGGTGGTTAACAAGAGACTCTTATCTTTAGCCCTTTAGCCCTCTCTCTGCCTAGGCTGGCTTTGAACCACACAATCGTTAGATCTCAGCCTCCAAGTAGCTAGGATTACAGGCAAGAGCCACTGGTGTCTGGCTTTGCTTAACATTTTTGCCCAAGGCTGGCACCCTACTACTTGACCCTCACCTCTATTCTGGCTGTTTTTGGTTGATTGGAGATAAGAGTCTCCCAATCTTGCAAAAATAACATGCACAAAAAAGAGCTAGAGGTATTTATAGCTCAGCAGTAGTTCACCTGGTAGCAAGTATTCAAACTCCAGTACTGCCAAAAAGATTTTTTTGTTTTTCGGATTTTGTTTTGTTTTCAGCTAAGGACTGAAAAGGGATATAGCTCAGTAGTAGAACATTTACCCAGCATGTGTAAAGCCCTGGATTTGACCTAAATTTTTCTGTCAAGTCATTGTTGTGCCCATGTTATTCCACTAATAGAGCATCTAAATTCCCTATAGTTGGACTAAAGCTGGGTTTTTTGTTGTTGTTTTTCAGTCATGGAGCTTGAACTGGGCCTAGATACTGTCCCTGAGCTCTTCAGCTCAAGGCTAGAGCTCTACCACTTGAGCCACAGCACCCACTTCTGACTTTTTCTGTGTTGTGGTGCTGAGGAATTGAACCCAAGGCCTCATGCTAGTGAGGCAAGCACTCTATCACTAAGCCAACTTCCCAGCCCTAAAGCTGTTTTCTATACCAAATTATTTTACAGTAGCTCTTGCACTTATTTCTAGGAGAAAGTGTCAGTATAAATATTGTTTAATATGGCATTATGCAAATAAGATAGTAATATTTTTATCTCTAGCATCTCTGGAAATAAGCTGTAAATGGTAAAATGATCTACAGACTTTCAGACAGTGTTTTCGTAACTTGGGGTTTTTCAGGAATATTGATTTGTCTTACAGTACAATCAAAGAAAACAGAAATGCCTCTGAGATCGTGAAGACGGTGAATCTGCTCATCTCATCCCTGAGCACTGACTTCATCTGGGATTATATGACAAGGTGTTTTGAGGCATGCTTCAGGTAAGTTGAGGGTGGGCACAATTGGGAAGGGAGAGCAGGTGTGACTATTCTGTAGCTATTTGGAAGGGCCCAATTATCACTGGCTTTGTTGGTTCACACCTATAATCCTAGCTACTCAGGAGACTGAGATCTGAGGATCACAGTTGAAAGCCAGCCTGGGAAGACAAGTCTGAGCCCTTATCTCTAATTAATGGCCCAAAAGCTAGAAGTGCATATGTGGCTCAAGTGGTAGAGAACCAACCTTGAGCAAAAAAATTAACTGACAAGTTTCTAGTCCTGAGTTCAAGCCCCAGGACCAGGACAAAAAGTACAAGGTGGGGGAAGGGGTTGCCAATTATACATAAGCAGCTGAAGCCAGCGGTCTCTTCTGCTCTTAGAAGTTTAGCTGAAACAGAATTGGAAAGAATTTGCATATGATTTTAATAGAACAAAGAACATATGCAGTAAAAAGATACACATCATCTTTGCCATCCCGCGGCTTTTCTGTTATTTATTAAAGTCTAGCTTTAGAAAACCATCTGTAATTTCCAGTAAGGCTCATCAAATCAGCTCCACCACACAGTTCTCTGAGAAGCTTAGTGTACTTAACCCAGCTCTGTCTGGTGACTCTGGTCTGGATGGAGTGTTTTGAACATTTACGTCTTCTTATTACTGAAATTTAGTATGTAGCTGCTAAGATCAGAGCATTAATGATTTAAGCTACTGTAATCAGCTTTACTGTCCCTGTTAATCTGAGGGTGAATTGCAGGACCTCAGAGCTGTGCTTGGGGCTCACTCAAGGAGCAGGCTTTCTGCAAGCAGCCTTTCCCCCTTGCGTTTTCTTTACTGGAGGAACGTCCTGAGGGGCATGCCCTAGACCTTCCCTCTTGTCAATCCACACTGGAGCTTGGCCTTCTCCCTGCACTCCACAAGCCTGTAGCTGCTGTAATTGAAGCTTCCCCTATAAACACTTGGGTGTGTCCTGGGCTGCAAAGCCTGACTTTAATTCTTGGTTTTCATACTTTTGATGTGTAAGAAGGCTAGAGCCCAAAAACATGAAGTTTCTTGTCCAGCATTGCATAGCAACTTGATCACAGCAGAAGTTAGAATGCAGCCTGACTTAGGAGTCTCTCTTCCCAGCTGCTGTTTGGTGCTTTTCTGCTTCCCCCAGCATTAGGCTTAAAGCGCTTTGCTCCTATGCTGAATTTTGTTTATTATCATTGTATCTATGGGCAACAGCAAGAACGTGATACTGAAGTCAATGCTTTGGTCAGCAAAAGAGAAAAAAAAATGATGCTACCAGATTGAGCACTTTGCACCTTCCCAACACTCGTTCCTCCCAGAGTTAATCCCTGTCCTGGAATTACTGTCTGTTCTTCCCAGGATAGGTTGCTGCACTATTATAACAAGTGTGTGTGTCTGAGCCTATGTTGTCTGCTCAAATTCTCTATGCTGTCGGACTAGGGGCTTATATAGTGAGCTCCTACCTCAAAAACAAACAAATTGATGTTTGAGCATGTTACAGAAGAAATGATTAATTTCCTCTTCTTTCTGTGCTTCATTTAGACCAGTGAAGCAGAATGGCACCATTGGAACCGTCAGCCCTCCCCCTACGGTCTCGGAGCTCTGCACTCTCCTTGTGTTCCTCCTGGACGTTATTCCCTTGGTGGGTACTGTGCTGGGACACGACGGCTCACTACATGCTCCTGTGGCAGTCTCCTTAGTGCTACAGGCTGTTCCGTGCACCCAGGTTTACTGACCAGGGGCTTTACCTAAATACACACACAGATTTTAAGTTTGTTTTGCTGTGGAACATGTAGCCGTGTAGCCTAATTGTGTTTTTTTTTCTTTTTTTCTTTTGATGTATGTATGCATTACTTGAGATTGAACTCAGACCTTTTGTTTACTATGCATGTTTTCTATGTATCATTTGAGCCATGTCCATCCTTTTGCCTTTAGTTTGTTTTTTCAGATAAGGTCCCGTGCTTTTGCCCAGGCCAGGCTCAGATCATAATCCTCCTGCCTCAGCCTTCTGAGTGTCTGGGATCACAGGCCTCCATCACCATGCCTCCCCTGACTATTCTCCTTTTTCAGTTATTTTATGCCTTCCTTAAAATTCCATTATTTTTCATATATCTTTGTATACCTATATAAGGATTTCTGTAAGATGTACTAAGATAAATTTTCTTATGCATAGAAGATGAACCCTTAGCCAAGGGTTGGAGATGTAGCTCAGTGGTAGAGTAGTTACCTAGCATGTGCAAAGTCCTGGGTTTGATCCCTAGTACTGCAGTCACAATAAATCACTAAAATTTTCTGCTGAGAGAGTATCTTTTTTTTTTTTTTGGTTGGTCATGAGGCTTGAACTCTGGGTGGTAGAGTGCTAGCCTTGAGCTGAAGAGCTGAGGGACAGTGCCCAGAATTCAGGCCCCACAACTGACCTCCCTACCCTCCCCCCCCCCAAAAAAAAAGAGTCTCACAGACTTTCCTGCCCAGGCTAGCTTTGAACTGCGATCTTCAGATCTCAGCCTGCTGAGTAGCTAGGATTGTAGGTGGGAGCCACTGGCGCCCAGCCAGAATATCTTTTTTGTTGTTGTTGTTGGTTGTGGGGCCTGAACTCTGGGCCTTGGCTCTGTTCCCTCAGCTCTTCAGCTCTACCACCTGAGCCACAGCGCCTCTTCTGGCTTTTTCCACTTATGTGGTGCTGAGGAATCAAACTCAGGGCTTCATGCATGTAAAGCAAGCACTCTACCACTGAACCACCTTCCCAGCGCTAAGAACACTAATGTTTTTGTTGTTTTGAGATAGGATCTCCCTATGTAGCCCAATTCTTTTGTCTTAGTCTCCAGCTTGCTGAGATTATAGGTTTGTACCACCCCAACTCTTCATTTTATTAATACAGAAATATAAGTGGCAGTTCTATAATTTCCTCCCTGTTGGGTAGCCTTGATTTCCCCAGTTCAAAAGGAAATACTGTCATTTCTGGTGTAGGAATTAACCTAAAACATAGGCTGTGAGAGTCCGTCTCCCCACTCTGAGCTGGCAAGTGTGTGGTGACAGTGCTGTGTTTTGCAGGAACTCTACTCTGAGGTACAAACCCAGTACCTCCCACAGGTGCTTGGCTGCCTGGTGCAGCCACTTGCTGAGCAGGTGGAGGCCCTGAGCTTGCCTGAGCTCACACACGCCTTGAAGACATGTTTCAAGGTGCTTAGCAAAGTCCAGATGCCACCTACCTACTTGGACATGGAGACCACCAGCAGCAGCTCGGTATGTGCCCCAAAGATAGAGGCGAGCATCCTCATGACTGCTGGCCAGATGGAGGTGGGGGGGGCGGGCACTAGGGGTGGGCAGGATTGCATTATACATGAAAACATGTACCAACCATGTGTTCAGTGTACTTGTAAAGTACTTAGGGTTTGGTGTAACAAACCCTCTTCCTGTCACCCTCTCCCCTGCTGTCTAACTACAGCTAGTGGCTAGATAGAGCTGATGACCATGGTCAGTGGCAACTTATTGTAGCTCTCCTTCCAGACCTCTATACGTGTGGGGTTGTACACACGTGATCTGGGTTACTGGAAGTAATTTAGCATCCATAGACAGTTGATTTGTCAGGGCCACCATCCCAGAGGGCTCAACAACTGAAATTACTTTTCTCACAGTTCTGAAGGCCAGGGTGTAATAACAAGGTACTGGAGGGTCCTTCCAAGTGTGCCAGGCGTGAAGAATCTGTTCCAGGTCTCTGCAAGCTTCGGCTGCCTTGCCAGCTGCCTTGTGTGGGCTGAGCTTGTAAACACCCGGCCCGTCTGTGTCCTGGTGTTTCCCTCGCATTTCCCTGTGTGCCGGTCTGTGTTGCCAGATCTCCTTTCTCCAGGACATAAGTCTCGTTGGCTTTGGACCCACTCTAATGTGTCTGTCTTAACTTGAGCATCTGCCTGTATCTTATTTCCAAATAAGGTCACATTCCTGGTACTGGAGTTTAGGACATCAGCTTCTTTGGGAGACACAGTTCAATCCCCATGTCATTGTTTTACCACTCACTGTGGTTTCCATTCACACAGCATTTTAAGGACAGCATTGTATAGCAGTATAGATAAGTTCTGGTAGCTCATGATTGTTGTCTCCTAGCTACTCAGGAGACGGAGATCCAGGAATCATGGGTTCAGACCAGGCATGGAAGTCCACGAGTCTCATTTCTAGCCAGAACAGACACCACCCAGGCTGTGGGCTAAAACTCAGGGCCACCACGTACACCTGCGTGCGGACACACAACAGTATGTTTCAGACTTCATACGTTTCTTCCTCGTTTTTCTGAGGAAGAGAGTAGAATAAATATTCCTTTCAGATTTAATGTAAGAAACAGTACAGGAAAAGAAAATGATCCTTTGATGGTTGAAGTATTATTACGTTGGAAAGCCATATTGTATGTATATGTGTGTATACATATGTATGTACATATATTCAAATGTAGCTAAGAACCCCAGGTCCAGATCTGAAGTATTTTGCATTTTAGTTTTTCAAAGTTTGGAATATTTGCATATTGACAATGAGAGACCATAGGAAATAGGACCTAAGTCTAAACATGAAATCAATGTGTATTTCTTGCACTTTTATCCACAGAACCTGGAAGCAATTTTCCATAGTATGTCTATGCCCCTGTATTTTTAGTCAGACACCCCACAGGAAATCTGGTGTAGAATTTCCAATGTGTGACATTGTATGTAGTGCTTATAGTATATGGATTTGGAGCATTTTGGCTTCTGAGTTTTTATATTCAGTCTGTGTTTGAATTTTGCTCCAGCTTTCTACTTTAGTTATTTAGTGTGTTGGGTGGGCACAGGGCCTCACACTCCTGCGCAGCTTTTGTGCGTAGTTGGCTACACTTTTCCACTTGAGCCACACTTTCAGTTCCAGCTTTTTGCTGGTTAATTGGAGACAACAGTCTTGAGCATTGCCATGGTTTGCTTTGAACTGCAGTCCTCAGATTTCAGCCTGAGTAACTAAGAGTATAGACATGAGTCACCAACACCCAGCTCTTAACTTAGGTTTGTTTGTTTGTTTGTCTGTCTGTCACGGGGCTTGAACTCTGGGCCTGGGCACTGTGCCTCAGCTCTTCAGCTCAAAGTGAGTGCTCTACCACTTGAGCTACAGCGCCACTTCTGGTTTTCTGGTGGTTTATTGGAGATAAGAGTTTCACAGACTTTCCTGCCCAGGCTGGCTTTGAACCACAATCCTCAGGTCTCAGCCTTCTGAGTAGCTAGGATTACAGGTGTGAACCACTGGTGCACGGCTTTAATATTTTTATGTCTTTATTCAAACATTTCCCCCTCATACTTTTACATTTGTCAGAAATACATTTTAAATAGCTAATTTGAACCCTGAAGAGTCTCAATAAATAAGACAAAACAGACTGGGAAAGAGTGAGGGAAGGGTGACATTGTCCAGAAAGAAATATGCTCATTACCTGACTTATATAACTGTAACCCCTCTGTACATCACCCTTATAATAACAATTAAAACAATAAGACAAAACCTGCTGACAGATCAGATGCCCACAAAAGTGGATGGCAGCTTCCCTGTCCTGCCTCTACCTCACCTGATTCCTTCTTCACTTGCTGATGTTCTTTTACAGGGCATTCTCTCAGGAATTGCGACTCTTGGTTTGCCCAGTTGAACCGATTCTTGAATCCCTTGGCTGTAGGAGATGCACAGTACAATTTTTTAATTGTTTTTCAGAGTCCAGTGAAAGGTGAGAATGGCGCTATCATTTTGGAAACAAAGGCCATCGTTCCGGATGATGAAGATGCTTCCTTTGCCCCACTCAAGTCTGAGGACAGTGGCATCGGGCTCAGCGCCTCATCGCCAGAGCTCTCTGAGCACCTGAGGGTGCCACGAGTTTCTCCTGAAAGAGACGACGTGTGGAAGAAGGGCGGGGTCATGCAAAGGACCTTTCTTTGCATCCAGCAGCTAATTGCCAACTTTGCCAGCAGGAACATTTTTGCAGCACCCCTGACAGTGTCTGGAGAAGAAAGCAGGTCTGAAGAGCCCGCAGGGAGAAGGGACAAGGGCAGGGCCCAGAGCGCAGTGGATGACAGCTTTGCTAGGAAGAACTCCTGGGAGACCAAGCCCATCACTGTGCCCCAGTTCAAGCAGATGCTTTCAGACTTGTTCACAGTGCGTGGGTCTCCATTTAAGACGAAAAATTCAGAGTCACCATCGTCTGTGCCCAGTAGCCCTGGAGGAAAAGTGGGAGCAGAATGGGATGTTGACCAGGTGGTCTTTGAACTGGGGGGCTCCAAGGAGGACTGCAGAGAGGCCTTCGCGGCCGCCTGCCACTTGCTGCTGGACTGTGCCACGTTCCCCGTCTACCTGTCCGAGGAGGAGACTGAACAGCTGTGTGACACGCTCTACCAGCTTCCAGGTGAGAGGGCAGCCCCGCCCAGCCCATTGTTGTGAATCCTGGCACAGAGGCCATTGATATGCACAGACTAGCTCAGCCAAGGTGGGACTACAGGTAGCTCACCCTAATCCAGAATCTAAAATGCCTGGAAGTTCAAATTTCTTTGAACATTGACATGGTTCTGGAGCATTTTGGATAAGGGACCAGGACTGTGCTGTTCCAGTGGCCATTGGAGGGTTGGAATACCCGATCTGTGGGTCCTGGCTTCTATCGCTACTTCTGCAGATACTCTAAAAAAAAACTAAGCCAGGAGCTGGTGGCTCACGCCTGTAATCCTAACTACTCAAGAGGCTGAGATCTGAGGATCCCGGTTCAAAGCCAGCCTGGGCAGGAAAGTCCATAAGACTCTTATCTCCAATAAACCACCAGAAAAATGGAAGTGGC